AAAAAAGTCGGATGAATAGTGAAAGAAGACTGCTCGCAAAAGGAAAAACTCAATCCGCATTTTCCAGCGGATTAGATTCTGGCCTAAAAAATGCGTCGCGGTAGCGAGCGAAATGCCTAAGTTTTGTTTAGCAGTAGCTATTAAGTTTTAAACTAGCTAGAGGAAGAGTACCTCTAGCTACTGAATCAGCCGTCAGTTCCCGGAACTCGAGGAAACTGAGTGGATATGATACAAGTGGCCAGTTTAAAGTGAATCGCCTTCTGTAATATAATTCATAATTGGATTACAGAGATTGAAACTGATACAAAAGTAGGTTAAAACGTGAACTGACTAAGTCTTGATCTTTTTGTCGCCACCAAGATATAAAAAAGCAGCAAAGCTTCCAGCTCGATTCCAGCGTACTTTCGTTGTAGCTGTTTCGAGTTAATTCCGAACCAAAGCCATTTCACAATCGTGTAGGAGAGCCTAACGTTTTCTAGTCTTGTGTTCCTCGCTGTAAGGAGAGAACTCGAATCAGTTCTTGTTTATTTCTAGGTTATTGCCCTGGAAGTTGGAAGCAGTTCAAAAGCTATTGTTACATCGTGAGCAGTCACATTACGACTTGGCACGGGGCCCAATCGTACTGCAAAAGGTGGGGAGGAGAGCTGGTTAAGATCAACAGCTTTGATGAAAACGAGTTTGTACTGAAGCTGGTTCACAGCCGTGCGCCATCGCTGAAACAAATTTGGATCGGACTCAAGTGGAATCCAAGCGTCAACAATTTCATTTGGTCCGACAACTCAGTTCCATTCTACAAGTTCTGGGCTCCGCGTGAACCGAATGGAAAGTCCAGGGAGCCATGCAGCAACATGTGGATTGCGCGCTCAAGCCACCTACCTTACCGAGCTACTGGTTACTGGAATGATCTTATTTGCGGAATCCATTCGCTTTATCCTTGTGGATTTGTCTGTAAGAAGCTGGCATAGTCGGGAAGAAAACCTCATTGCCGCACAAGATAAAAGCCTGAACTAGTGGGGTGTAGCGATCAGAATTTTAGACTAAGCTCGGGATTTCTCATGCGTGACCGATCGCGATGATAAGTATTGTGAACAAAGACAAAATAAGATAATTTTTATGCAAATGTAATACAGTGACGGCTTGGAAATAAAACAATAACTATATGACGTTTTTGTTTGATATTTAACACTCAATTTGAAAAAGAAAGAGTACCCTCTAAGCTGTTTTTCAGCAGTCGAAAGCTCAATTTCTTTTTTCAATGAGCAAAAACACCCTCAAGAAATAAGTACGTAGAGATGACGTAAATGACAAATTTTCTTCCACCCGTTGTCAATACAAGCCAGCTAATAAATAAGTGGTCTTTCAGTTTTTGATAGTGACTGACCTACTTTGACAGCCCTTGCGGAAGTCATATCATCAGACTCAAAGCGGATGACTTGTTCACACATGTCAAAATGTCAATCAAAATGTCAAAATGTCAAGTCACGTGTCACGAATAGCCTCATGTCACTTGTCACCAATAGCCCTCTTCAGGACTAATG